ACACAAACTTAGATGATCTAGCCTACTGCAGACCCAAGCTATATGGTATAGCCTATTGTTCCCAGGCACAAAGCTGTGCAGCATGTTACTATACTGAATACTGCAGGCAACCATAACACAATGGTAAGCATTTGTGTGTCTAAACCTATCAACACACAGAAAAGGTACACTACCAATATCGTATTATACTCTTATGGGACCACCATCATATATGAGGTCCACTGTAAACGAAAGGTTGTTATGGGGCACGTGACTGTATTATCTCATATGTGTCAGGTGCTGTTAAGATGTCAGATGTCCTCTAGGGATATGAATAAGTGAATAATGAATTTTGCTTCGGGATTTAAATAAAACTAAAGAAAGGCAGTATCATTTTACTCAAGACCTTCAAGGTAAGTAGGCATTGTCAGTTGACTGCTTGGAGGTTGGTGGGAACGTCTTCTAAGTAAAAGGAATGTGCAAAGACAAATAATTGAAAAACAGATACGTTTTGGGGACATCAAATGGTCAAAGTAGTAAAGAACCAAGGGTTTCTTACAGGGACAAGTTGGGTGGGTGGAGATACAAATGAGGCTAGCTAGTGCCTATTCAGTGTATTCAGCTCACTGATGCCAAAAAACCATACAGTCTAAAAGTTACCTGCCTTTGGGATAGGAGAATTAAATGCTCTCTCATCAGCACTCTCATAGCACTTTATGGTGTGTGTATTCATTTAAATTTGGGCTGTGATTTTTTTTTTGTTTTAACTGGGTCTCACTATGTAGCTTAGTCTGGTCTTAAACTCCTGACTTCAAGCGATCCTCCTGCCTTGGCCTTCCAAAGTGCTGGGATTACAGGTGGGATCCACTATGCCCAGTCTGGGCCCTGCTTTAATTGGGAACAGAAGATAAGCATAATAATCCCAGAGGGCAGTGTCTGATCAGTGTCCAAAGATGTGGTTGCTGCTTTTAGAATTCTGGGCAGAGAATTCTAAAGACAGCTGGTGTTGTCAGAGAAAGATTCACAGAGATCAGATCCAAACTAAGTTTTGAATAATGGTTGTATTTTCATTAGACATGGGAGAGGTAAAGAAATTGTCACCTGGACCAGGACAGATGCTGGGAAAATGTGTATCACGTTGTTTGGAGGCTAGGAGAGTGGCAGTGGGCTAGAAGAGAGGGAAGGGGAATAGTGAACAATAACTTTAGCCCTGTTGTATGTTCTCAGCTTAAATAAAGTTCTTTGTTTTCCACTTCAGCTTGTTCTCCTATAGGAATAACCTGGTCTCCAAAGTAAGAAAAATGTGCTTTCTTGGAAAACTGAAGTTTTCAAGGAAAAGTGAATAAACACATTCACCCTGTGTACAGATTTGCTATCTTGTGACCAACACATTAGAAAGAGTGATAAGTTCATTTTTAACATGTTTCCTGAGCTCCTGTGATGTGCCAGGGGCTGTTCTGGGTGCTAAGGTTCATTGGTGAACAGACACAAACCTCTGCCCTGACGGAGCTGACTTTCTAATGTAAATATGAGTCAGTGTGCTAAAGAGGAGAAGGAAGAAGTAGAAGAATTATTTGGGGGAAGGAGTAGAAACAGATTAATACTGAAGGTGGCTTGGGGTGATGCATTCCCAAATAGATTTTGCCCACAGCATCTTTCCTTCAGTCAGATTGCCAAGAAATGGGATTCGCCCCGTGAGTTTGGAGAGTTGGAGTCTCAGGTTGTGTTTCTGAGTCAACCAGAGGCCCTTGTTTGCAGGTTCCACCTGACTCCACTCAGACCTGAAATTTTCCCAAGGGCAACTAGTAACCCCAGATTCCTGGTGAATCAGAATCTCCAGGGTTCGGGTGGGGGAGGACAGGAGTCCATGGTTTTTGTTTTCCTGAAACAGAGTCTTATTCTGTTGCTGAGGGCAATGGAGCAACCATAGCTCACTGTAGCCTTTACCTTCTGGTTTCAAGCAATCCTCTCACCTCAGCCTCCCCAGTAGCTGAGACCACAGGCATGTGCCACCACACCTGGCTAATGTTTTGTTTTGTTTTTGAGGTGGAGTCTTGCTCTGTTGCCCAGGCTGGGGTTCAGTGGTGTGATCTCAGCTCCACCTCCCCAGTTCAAGCGATTCTCCTGCCTCAGCCTCCTGAGTAGCTGGGATTACAGGCATGTACCACCATGGCCAGCTAATTTTTGTATTTTTAGTAGAGATGGGGTTTCACAATGTTGGTCAGGCTGGTCTCAAACTCCTGACCTCGTGATCTGCCCACCTCAGCTGGGACTACAGGCATGAGCCACCACGCCTGGCCTTTTTTTTTTTTTTTTTTTTTTTTTAAGATGGGGACTTACTCTGTTGGCCAGGCTGGAGTGTATCTTGGCTCACTGCACCCTCTACCTCCTGGGCTTCATTGATCCTCCCACCTTAGCCTCCCAAGTAGCTGGGACTACAGGCATGTGCCACCATGCCTAGCTAATATTTGTATTTTTAGTAGAGACAGAGTTTCACCATGTTGCCCAGGATAGTCTCAAACTCCTAAACTCAAGCAATCCACCCACCTTGACCTCCCAAAGTGCTGGGATTACAACCATGAGCCACTGGGCTCATCTGGCTTTTCATGTTTTTTGTTTGTTTTTTGTGGGGTTTTTTTGAGACAGAGTTTTGCTCTTGTTTCCCAGGCTGGAGTGCAAGGCGCAATCTCAGCTCATTGCAACCTTCGCTTCCTGGGTTCAACCAATTTTCCTGCCTCAGCCTTCTGAGTAGCTGCGATTACAGGCATGTGCCACCATGCCCAGCTAATTTTGAATTTTTAGTAGAGACGGGGTTCCACCATGTTGGTCAGTCTGGTCTCAAACTCCCGACCTCAGGCTATCTGCCCATCTCAGCCTCCCAATGTTCTTGGATGTCTTGATTTTCATGGATTCCTGTTTCCATTGCCAGATTGACCACTGTTGATGGTCGTTTCTTTTTAATATATGACTAGTTATGGAGTTCCTGGAGTTTTGGGAGTTTGGGAGCTGTAAAGTTAAATGATTTTCAAACTTTTTTCTTGCGGTTGAGTAAAAGTTGAGCTACTCAGCTGAAGGGTATGTGTGGGGAGAGGTGGGAATGTCAAGAGTGCCTCCACCACAGCTCCTGGATACCCCAAAGAATACTGGGTCCCAAAGTTAAAAAATCACTGATGTGGTCTATTAAGTTCATGAAGAAATGGGAAACATGACCCAGAGGTTGGAGCTTGTTCATCATCACATGGGTGGTAAATGTCAATATCCAAAACAACCCAGGTGACTTCCAAATTCAGTGTCCTTGACCCTGTGTCCCAGCCTCTGGAAAGCCTTGCCAGAAATTCTCCCCAGCCCCCTTCGTGGTTGGTCATTCTTTCCCCCATGTTACAGCACATTGTTTTGCCAGCTGCATTGCTTAATATGTTAGACTTATTTCCTTTATTTATTATTGTTATTTTTAATATACTTTAAGTTCTGGGATACTGTGCAGAATGTGCAGGTTTGTTACATAGGTATACATGTGCCATGGTGGTTTGTGGCACCCGTCAACCTGTCATCTACATTAGGTATTTCTCCTAATGCTATCCCTCCCTTAGTCCCCTACCCCGCAACAGGCGCTAGTGTGTGATGTTCCCCTCACTGTGTCCATATGTTATTATTGTTCAATTCCCACTTATGAATGAGAACATGCGATGTTTGGTTTTCTGTTCCTGTGTTAGTTTGCTCAGAATGATGGTTTCCAGCTTCATTCATGTCCCTGCAAAGGACATGAACTCATGCTGTTAGGCTTATTTCTGCCCCATGTCATTACTACTTCAAATAAGAATTAAAGCAGTTTAAAGAGCTTCAAATTCTTTATTTCGTGAGATGAACCAAGGTCGTATATTGCCTATGTTAATTGTCTTTTCCAACTCTGGGAAACTTTTTTTTTTTTTGAGATGGAGTTTTGCTGTTTTGCTCTTGTTGCCCAGGCTGGAGTGCTGTGGCATGATCTCGGCTCATGGCAACCTCTGCCTCCTGGGTTCAAGTTATTCTCCTGCCCCAGTCTCCCGGGTAACTGCAATTACAGGTGCCCACTGCCACGCCTGGCTAATTTTTTTGTATTTCAGTAGAGACAGGGTTTCACCATGTTGACCAGGCTGGTCTTGAACTCCTGACAGGTTATTCACCTGCCTCGTCCTCCCAGAGTGTTGGGATTACAGACATGAGCCACTGTACCCAACCAATTTTTTTTTTTTTTAGACAGAATCTCTCTCTCTCTGTTGCCCAGGCTGGAGTGTAGTAGTGCATTCACGGCTCACTGCAACCTCCACACTCCAGGCTCAAGCAATCTTTCTACCTCAGCCTCCTCAGTAGCTGGGACCACAGGCCCAAGCCACCACACCCAACTAATTTTTTGTAGAAATGGACTTTCACCATGTTGCCCAGGCTGGTCTGGAACTCCTGAGCTCAAGCGATCTGCCTGCCTCAACCTCCCAAAGTACTGGTATTACAGATGTAAACCAGCTGGGAATTTTTATTATTTTTTTGAGACACAATCTCATTCTGTCACCCAGGCTGGAGTGCAATGGCACGATCTTGGCTCACTGCAACCTCCGCCTCCTGGGTTCAAACCAGTTCTCCTGCCTCAGCCTCCCGAGTAGCTGGGATTACAGGCTTGTGCCACCACACCTGGCTGATTTTTGTATTTTCAGTAGAGACGGAGTTTCACCATGTTGACCAGGCTGGTCTCAAACTCCTGACCTCAGGTGATGCACCTTGGCCTCGCAAAGTGCTGCAGTTACAGGTGTGAGCCACTGTGCCTGGCCAAATTTTTTAATTTCTACGTTTTTCTTCTAATAATTTGTCTCGCCCTTTTCTACCTTCTTATCCTTGCTTTTAGAAGGCTCTAGCTGGTGACAAAATAAATTAAGAAATTTTTGGTTGGATAATAACAAAAAAACTTAAAGCCAATCATGCTGAGTTTGACAGCTGCTTTTCACCACAAATGGATGTAATTGTGAAAATATTGTCATGTTTTCTTCTAGCAAAACGTCATATTATTTCACAAAAAGCCCAGCGATTTCACCTGAAGAAGCTTGGGAACTCCTGCCAAAAATTGTAGCACTTCTCACATTGCAATGGTAATGAATTGTTGCATGTCTGTCTTCCAAAAGAGAGTTCCTTCAATACGGGAACCATGCCAGAAGGTGAAGTCTTACAGAACTTAACAGCACAGAACAATTAAAATATAGTAAAAAGAATAAGATCAGAATACTTTATATCCGTATTGACATGAATAGTTATTTGCTCTGCATAAGTGGCTATTCATGGCATAATTTTTTGCTGATGACACTCATTGGAAAACTGTTTGCTCAAACACAGTAGTTCACTTTTCAGCCTTGCTTCTTCTGTTCCACAAAATGTGAAGGATTTTTACATTTGTTATTACATTTATGCCGTATTATATTCCCAGCCCCAAGACTAGTACCTAGTGCTAACGTTTGTTAAATGAATAATGAATATTCTTGATACCCATTGAACAGCTTTATTAAAAATAGGAAATAAAGAAGGAGCCTGTCTCATTCCCTAAGGGTAGAAGACAAAAGGAGGCACAGGAGAAAACTGTGTAAACAATTTAAATATCTGTCTTCCTTCCTCCTTCCTTTCTCCTATCCTCCCTCTTTCTGGATACTCTGATCCTATAATCTGCGGATAAACTCATATAACCCATTCAAGAGATTTGGTTCAAGACCTTACAAATGCAGCAGGGCAGGGTGGCTCATGCCTGTAATCCCAGCACTTTGGAAGGCCAAGACGGGTGGATCACAAGGTCAGGAGTTCGAGACTAGCCTGGCCAACATGGTGAGCCCGCATCTCTACTAAAAATACAAAAGTTAGCTGGGCGTGGTGGCACACACCTGTAGTCCCCAGCTACTCAGGAGCCTGAAGCTGGAGAATCACTTGAACCAGGGAGGTGGAGGCTACATGAGCTGAGATCACATCATTGCACTCCAGCCTGGGCAACACAAGAGTGAAACTCCCATCTCAGAAAAAGAAAAAAAAAAGACCTTACAAATGACTATGGAGCCAAAATTGAGTAACTGGGACTGGGACTGGATTTAACTTCCCTGTGTAAAAAGTTAAAAATCAGACACGATATATGAAACAATGGTTTTTTTAGATATTAGATATCAGGCAGCAGAGGAGAGTGACTCCTGAGAGAAGAAAACAAATAAGATGAGACCTGCAATTGATCCAGCTTACTGTCAAGAGAGTTGCCTCGCCATAGCTGAGGAAGGAGGAACACACAGGAAGACTGATAATCCCTGAGTTGAGCTGGTGTTGCTGGGAGGTTAAAATGGCCTAAGTTCACAGGGCAGAGTACCAGAGAGACAGAGAGAGCACTACACAGAGAGAAATCTCTGGAGATCTGCAGAGTGTCTTTCTCAGGGTTTCAGCTGATAATTGAGGTGGTTCTGGGAAAGAACACTATTACAGCTCACATAGGGCAGAGAATAGTTTGTGTTCCTATCTGCAAGACAGCAAAAATCCTTGTAATTCATAGGACATCAAATGAAGTACTCATAGGGCATTTATTGCCTCAATACAGAGCAAAATGAAACCTAGACTAAAGATTGACAAAGCTTAAAAGCAAACCTTAAAAGGATCAGACTCTTTGTAAAGAAACTTTGTAAAGTAACTTAGTTGTGTTGGGAAATAACCAGCACCTGATAATGTAAACTTAACAATGTCTGACATCCAATAAAAAATGACCAGGCATGCAAAGAAGCAGAAAATACCACCCTTAATTGAGACCAATAATAACAAAAAGATCAATCAATAGAAACAGACTCAGAAATGATACAAGTGATAGAATTAATCATTAAAAAGTTGGCCAGATGAGGTGGCTCATGCCTTTAATCCTAACGCTTTGTGTGGCGGAGGCAGGCAGATCACTTGAGGCCAAGAGTGTGAGACCAGCCTGGACAACATGGCAAAACTCTGTCTCTCCAAAAAATACAAAAGTTAGCCAGGCATGGTGGCTCATGCCTGTAATCCCATCACTTTGGAAGGCCAAGGCAGGAGGATCACTTGAGACCAGGAGTTCAAAACCACCCTGAGCAACACAGTGAACCCCTGTCTCTTCAAAAAAAAAAATTGTTTTAAGTTGTTACTATCTTGCATAAGTTCAAGAAAGTAGTGAAAAGATTAAACAGATAATGGCATGAAATCTCATCCTGGGCCAAGACAACAAAGCAAAAAAAAATTTTTTTTAATAGTGACGGAATATGTTAAAAAGACCCAAATTGAACTTCTGAATACAAAAAATACAACGTTTTAAAATAAAAGTGTACTGGATGGGATTAAGAGAAGATTAGAGACTGCAGAAGAAAAGATTTATGAATTTGAAGACATATGAATAGAAGCTATCCTAAATGAAAGCCAGGGAGATTAAAGACTAAAAAAGGCGTGTGAGCATGATGGCTCACACCTGTAATCCCAGCACTTCAGGAGGCCAGGGCATGGGGATAGCTTGAGCCCAGGAAGTCAAGACCAGCCTGGACAACATGGTAAAACCCTGTCTCTACAAAAAATACAGAAACTAGCTGGGTATGATAGCAGGCGCCTGTGGTCCCAGCTACTCAGGAGGCCAAGGTAGAGGATCACCGGAGCCCAGGAGGTCAAGGCTGCAGTGAGCCATGATCCTGCCATTGCACTGCATCCTGAGCAGGAGAGCAAAACCCTATCTCAAGAAAGTAAATAAATTTAATTAAAAAATAAAAGGCTGAAAGAAAATACGGCATCATTGAGCTGTGAAACACTTCAAACAGTCTAATAATGTAAGTGTAATTGTATGTCCCCAAAGCGGGGGGGACATAAAATATTTGAAAAAATTAATGGCTGAAATTTTTCTAAATTGGAAGGAAACTATAAACCTGTAGACTCTAGAAGCTTAATGAACTGCAAAGACTAGAAGCATGAAGAGAACTACACCAAGGCATTTCATAATCAGATTGCTTAAAACTAGTGGTAAAGAGAAAAATATTTAAAGTGTCCAGAGGAACAAAAGACACATTATGAAAAAGAGAAAGGTAAGAATGATGGCAGGCTTTTCTTTGGAAATATGCAAATGAGAAACAGTACATCAGTATCTTTAAAGAACTGAAAGGAAAAGAAAAAACCCTTTCAATCTTGAACATTATGCCCAATGAAAATATATTTCAAAAATGAAGGCAAGGTAGACACTTTTTTGGGGGAGGAGGACAGAATCTCTATCGCCCAGTGCAGTCACACAATCATGGCTCACTGCACCCTCAACTTCCCCAGGCTCAGGTGATCCTTCCACCTCTGCCTCTTGAGTAGCTGGGACTACGGGCGAGTACCACCATGCTCAGCTAATTGTTTTATTTTTTGTAAAGATGGGGTTTTTCCATGTTGCCCAGGCTGGTCATAAACTCTGGACTCAAGGAGTCTGCCCACTTTGGCCTCCCAAAGTGCTGGGATTACAGGCGTGAGTCACCACGCTCGTTTCACACTCTTTAAAGATATGTCAAAACTGAAAGAATTCATCAGCAGAGAACTGCACTACAAAAAATATTAAAGGATTCCTTTCAGGAGAAGTAAAATGATACCAGGTGGAAATCTGAATTAAGAGAATGAAGCACACTGGAAATAGTAAATATGTGAGTAAAAATAAAGTGACGACGGTTCATTTTACCTTCAATAGGTCAGGAAGTAAAAATGTGATTTTGAAGACGGCAACTGTTCTATAGTTCCTGTCTGCTTGAAATCTCTCAGTAATCCCTTTGCTAACCTCAGTACCTTTTAGAGGTAAATTTGTTTGTAAATTATTGGGAGATTATGACTCATGTTATACCAAGTTAATACAAGTAAAGCAAATGTCAGTAGTTTTTTGGTGAGGTATCTTGTATTGACTGTTAGTTGTTTTGTTTTTTGAGACAGGGTCTCACTTTGTCACACAGGCTGAAGTGCAGTGGCACGATCTTGGCTCACTGTAGTCTTGACCTCCCAAGTTCAAGCCATCCTCCTGCCTCAGTCCCCCCAGGTAGCTAGGACTACAGCTGTTTACCACCACGCCCGGCTCATTTTTTTTGTATTTTTTGTAGTGGCATGGTTTCACCATGTTGCCCAGGCTGGTCTCCAACTCCTGAGCTCAAACTATCTGCTGCCTGCCTCGGCTCCCAAAGTGCTAGGATTACAGGTATGAGCCACTGTGCCAGGCCTCTTGGTGGTCTTCCAAAGTTTCAGCTTATTAGTCAACATCTTCACTAGGCTATATATACCTATACATATGTATACGGATGCATATGTATAGGTATATAAAATATATATATATAGCGTATGTATGTGTGTATATTTGAGACGAAGTCTCGTTCTATTTCCCCGGCGGGAGTACAGTGGCGCAATCTCGGCTCACTGCAGCCTCCGCCTCCCAGGTTCAAGGGATTCTCCTTCCTGCCTCAGCCTCCTGAGTAGCTGGGATTATAGACATGCACCACCATGCCCGCTAATTGTTGTATTTTTAGTAAAGATGGGGGTTTCACCATGTTGGCCAGGCTGGTCTCAAACTCCTGACCTCAGGTGATCCACCTGCCTCAGCCACTAGGCTATATTTTTGAAAGAAAAAAGAAAAGAGAATCGGGCCGGGCGCGGTGGCTCACGCCTGTAATCCCAGCCCTTTGGGAGGCCGAGGCGGGTGGATCACGAGGTCAAGAGATCGAGACCATCCTGGTCAACACGGTGAAACCCCGTCTCTACTAAAAATACAAAACATTAGCTGGGCATGGTGGCGCATGCCTGTAATCCCAGCTACTCAGGAGGTTGAGGCAGGAGAATTGCCTGAACCCAGGAGGCGGAGGTTGCAGTGAGCCGAGATTGCGCCATTGCACTCCAGCCTGAGTAACAAGAGTGAAACTCCATCTCAAAAAAAAAAAGAGAATCGGATAAGGGAGGAAACAAAAATATTTGTAATAGTGGTCACATACCAAATTTCAGTTTGTGCAGTCTTTGAAATCCTGTTTTATGACTCTTTCCCCCTCCCCCTACACTGAGACAGGGTCTCACTCTGTCACCCAGGCTGGAGTGCAGTGGCATGATCTTGGGTCACTGCAACCTCTGC